AAAATTTTAAATATAATTATTCCATCATTAACATTCGATTTGATCTGATAAATAAGTAAGTTTAACTTATTCCTGCACCAGCGCAACAAGTAAGAACGAGTAAAACGACAAAAAAATAGGTACTACAACTTGGTGGTACGGGGAAATTTTAAAAGCTATTTAAGTTTGTAATATTTAAATTATTGTTTTTAACATTATTTAAAATATAGTACATCTGAAACAATTAATTTATATATAATAATACTTATTTTTTTAGACTTTGCTATCAGGTAAATAAATGTTAAACTATATAAAAAATGTACTAGTTCAATTCTACACTCGGTTGTCAGTTTAAACGTTTAAACGAGTGGCTTAATTAAGTAGCGAAATGCACTTAAACAAATAGCTTTGCTATTCTGTTAAAATACATCGCCGAACGCTGTGCCACGGAATTAGAGGTTTAAACAAATAAAACCTTTTGAAGCCAGTTTAATTTGATTACACAGCGCTGCATATATTCGACGTTACATTCGATACTGTATTTTTAACATAATATATTGTGTGACGTATCAAATGAAGGGTTTATAAACTTAAAGGGGACTCCGATTGACTATTCTTGCCCTCCCTCCTCTGCGATCTACGAAACTACAAGTCATAAAATACATTGTAAAAGAAAACCTGTGACGGGTTCGATGCTTGGGCGAATAAATGAAAAGGCTGACTAAACTTGAGAATTGATTTTATTTTATGCTAATAAAGTAATGATAAAGAAAAAACTGTGACACACAAAAACTGAATTTAAAAATATATAAAATTACAATAGCTAAATAGAACAATACATACCCCTTTTTGGGTTTCCTGTAATATAAAAACTTGGACGATATTTTTAAGATATAGTTTTAGATTAACAATTTCAATTTTAATCACAATAGGTAACTTCATTATTATAAAATGTTATGTTTAAATTTATACGATTACAATAAACATGTTCACACCAGTTGATTTTTTTACGAACTGACATTCATAAAGAGCATACTGGATTAGTCAAAATTTCAAATTACGAAAGGGGAATAATAAAAAGAAATGATGAAGAAGATCAGAGACAAAAAGTTTACATGCTGAAACCTAGGACAAAATAAGCGGTGGTACGGCACACAGTTACAAACCTATATGTAAGAGATATATGTTTTTATAGGTCTCTCTCATGGGCGGTGTTGGCTAATGACATATCGAAAAAAAATACTTTTCCTTATTTCACTTTTCCAAGTTTAAAAATAAAACTGTTTCATAAAAAAGATGAGCTTTTTGTTTTTGAATTGCCCTGAGCCGAAGCTAAACAAAAAAGAAACAATAAGACTACATAATTATTGGATTTTTAAAATTATTTATGACAGAATCTTTTGTATCTTTGCAATCTGACTGAAAAAAATGGGTTCACGCACATCTGATGGAAAATGCATGGCGTACTGGCGTCTCGTCGGTCAGGGAACGTCTAGATATGGGGCTAGTGCTAGTACACACCCATTGAGCGCTCGGCGTGCGTTGGACGCGCGTTGATCATAAATTAGTATTGTATATTTAGTGTAGATGATCTACACTACGCTCAACTCTGCGTCAGACATGCGTTAGTGGGCGAGTATACTTTATGCTAAGTTCGGAAATAAATGTAGATGCAATTGCCTGTGCTCCTCTACTACTTGCTACAAAAGTCGACGATAGAATGTAAGTATACTAAGAATAATGTAATAGACCGACTTTAAGGTGAATATTATTTTCCAATTCAGAATGCTTAGTTATTTGTTAAACAATAAGTATAATAATTTAATTTCTGTAAAAATATATGAGACCACCCATAAAAGACAAATTTGGAAATCAGTCAACATTTCGCGGAGAAATAGATCAAACCTACAATAAAAAAATTCAAACCGAGCGATTAGCGATCCTTGTGAATTCATGTCCTTCTCACACTTGACAGTTTTGTTATTTCTTTGACACCCGCCAGACAGCAAAATAAGAAAACAGCAGTGTACAAAGCGGTCCATTGATAAGAACAGCCACACATTATTTGTTTTATTTTTGTCGACGAGCCGAATAAGAACTTATTTACAATATGCCGGGCCGACGGTTATGGAAATAACTTTAAGGCTGTACATAAAGACACAAAGTATCTGTACCTAAAAATGTCGTTGCCCTTGTCAATATTATAGAGCAGGTGTATCAAAATTTCAACTCCACGTGCCCCCGTAAAAACATTCCAGATGACATCGAACCCCTTTTCAAACTAATGAAACTAAGCGGTTCGCTATCATTGGTGGGTGGAGGGGGACAGAGAAAATATTAAAATTGGTTGTTGAAGAAAACTAGGCTTTTATATAAATAAAAAATAACAAATATAGAGCCAAAAGAAACGTCTCTGAACAATTTTAACCTTTATCCTCAAGTCATCGAGCACTGTTAAGAGAATCTTGTCGCAGACCCGCTACCGACGAATTGCGAACCCCTAGGGGTTCTCGTACCGCACTTTGAGGATCCCTGATATAGAGTATGGTAAATTGCGGACAAAAAACATTTTTCATATAATAAAAATAGTTAAACTTATCCTTTTATATTTAGTAAATAAATAACTTACAATAATTGAAAGATGTGAATTCATGATATACTTAAAAACAAAGACATGTTTGTCCTCCATGAATGTGCAATGTAAGTATGAGAAATCGGTACACATATTGAAGGTTATAAATAACAGTAGCGCTTCATATAATTGAGCTAATAATTAAAAATTCTACTCTATTGTCCCATGGATTTAAAAGAATTACTTACAGTAATAAATTTTTATATACATATTTTTGTGGAATAACCAATAAAATTGCGGATGGTTCAACGTCACATTAATTTCTGCAGCCCCCAAATAACTTGTTGACCCAAACAGAACTGTAATAGTTTTAAGTTAAATAACTGCGAGTAGATTTAATCGCTCAAGTCCCGGAGTCCCTTTTCACTTATCAATTTAATTTGCAAGTATATAACATATTAAAGTGTACTCGCCTTGAACAACAGAATATTTATTTTAATGTTATATTTATCAAATAACATTACGTTCACGATCAATTTGATAATATTGATCTTCTCGATATCCACTTAAGGGACCAATCGTTATTGAACTACTGAACGTCGAGAATTCCCGACGGACCATAAATGAGAAATCAGAATGTCTGGCAGCTGTATTCCTCACGTCTGTACCTATTTATATTTTCATAGGTAGACCGATCATGAAAGTGGACGGATCAAACTCGGCCCGGGTCCATGATCTTACACAAGATCCTACACGAGATACGCGAGAATTACGTGTGGTTCAAATGCAATAAAAAAGCAAGAAGAGGTTGTCCATGTACCTAAATATTATGTTCTGAACATGTTCGTCAATTTGCGAAAGCTCTATGAATCGAATCAAAACTATATTTGTTCAGTCTAAGCTCCTATAAGCACTTGTGAAAGTCGAATCTATACGCCATCGGGTAATAAATCTACGACGGGACCTTGTACTGAGAAGAACCGACAAGAAACTCGGTAAGGGCTGAGTTTTTCTACCTGTTTTATTTCAGATAGAGATGTCAACAATTTTATAATGTCTTCATTAGATTATGAAGTCACTTTTCATCACAATATTAAAAAACAATAAAATTAACTCTTCAATCGATCCACATGTCACGATATGTGATGTGAATTATATACTTTTTACAAAAACCGAATAAGTACAGCATGAAACAAAATATGAAAAATATTACCGAAAGTTCATCGGTCCTAGGCGCTGATTATAGGATTTACTTGGGACAAATGAATTTATATGCATTTTCTTTAAAATAAATATCAATATCGGATTCATGGGCATTCGTGCAAAAGTGATCAAAGGGTAATAAAAATAATATTTTATTTTAACGAAAAGCTGTTGATATCAATAAACTAAAACACTGTGAAGCTCAGGATCTCGGCCTGACTTCAAATCGAGATTCTCGATTATATATGTTAAAAGCTCGATTATATTTAAAAACTATGTATCGATAAAACCCTCATAACGTCTCACCAATGTACGTCAGGTTAACAGAATATATCATATTAACCCTGTAGAATTTCAAATACAAATGGCATACTGTTGACTGTATCTACAGTGAGATACCTATTTTAAGGTATCTAAATACCTAATGCCAAACCAAATAGCTAAGTAGCTATTTAAATTTTATATAATAACAAACGAAAAGCTCTTCGGTAGACCGAACGAAGCCAGTCAAATTCAAATATAAGAGCACCGCTTAAAGAGAAAAACTAATCATTTTCTTTGAGAGCGTCTCCAAACAAAACTACATTAAATAAGCTCGGGACCAGGATATTTAACTGCACACTGCAGTGTATAAATATTATGTGATACTGCTGCACTAACATCGTTCTACGCAAAGGCAAGTTTGTTTTGTCTCTATTTGCGTGTTATTACCGTGTAATACTCTGTCGCAGTACCATCACGCTCAACAGGCATAATTCCAATATTAAGAAAATGTGCATTATAGTACGTATAATAATAAAAGTATATACGTTGTGGTTTACATTGTAAATGAAATATCGTCATGGTACAGTCACAGAGAATCCTCCGCCGACGTACCACATGACGTGTGCTCGAGGATTACACTCAGATCAGTAGTTTATTTTTATATCAAAGTAACTGAGAGCGCAATATTCTAAATGTACGCACTATTCCCGCCGCATAACGTGACAAGTGATGTGTGAATTCTCCTCTGATAACAGCCTTACTCAATAACTAAGCGGGTTATTGGATGGGAGCCTACCCCAGGCCAGAATATACCCTCTACCACTCCACCTTGCGTTTAGAACATGGAGAGCCTTTCTGTTAACCGCCCACGCTCAAGCACATTTCCCCCCTTCAATCCTATGTGAAGGTCAGTCTAGACTTCTCATAGACCTTCTCCCCCGCCTGCAGTGGAGCAGCCATGTTTCCATGACAGCATAATATTTCAACCGTGTTGGCAATCATCATCATCATATCAACCGAGAGACGCCCACCGCTGGGCAATGTTTAATTTTTATTTGAAGATTACTAAAGCAAATAATATTTGTACGACAAACATGCGTTCACTAAAGCAAACCGATCGCTCTGCTTAGCGTTCGTGGACTACGAGAAAGCCTTCGATTATCAACATTAATGGCGAGTATCTTACACACCATTGCTTTGCCGATGATATAATGCTAATGTTCCAAGTAATGACGGACGTGATCGTTCACTATCTCATAAAAAGGCTCAGGGTCACCCAGCGAGCAATGGAGGAAGCAATGCTTGGTATTTCTCTACGTGATCGAATTAGGATAGAGATCCGTAAGAGAACCAAATTTACTGACATTGCTCGAACGATTTCTCAGCAGAAGTGGCAGTGGGCGAGACATACTGCTAGAAAGACTGATGGCGTTTGGGGCGGAAGAGTTCTCGAATAGCGATCACGTACCAGACGTGGTCAGTGGGTAGGCCTCCTACCAGATGGATCGACGATATTGTAAAGGTAGCGGGAAACCGCTGGATGTGGACAGCGTAGGACCGATCGTCTTGGAGATCTGTGGGGGGTGCCTATGCTCAGCAGTGGGCGTCGTTCGGCTGATGGTGATGATGAAGTATATTAACTTACATTTTAATTTTTCTCTTAGGACTTTCCATGTCGTATCTAAATAAATAATAAATTTTCTTTCGCGCATTCTCTTTGCATAAAGAAATATTTTTGTCACAGCTGTGCCCAATTTTTGACAGATTTTAAAAAGAAGAACGGACGCGTTCTTCGGTCTCATCTCATTAAAGATAATGAAATAATGACTGAGCCACCGAAGTCTTCGTATTCGCCGATAACCCGCACGCAGACTTATTTAACCAGTGTAAATGAGCCATTACTGATGATATTATATTCAACTGTCCACCTATAGAAAATGCGGTAGGTATTACAAATAATATTTTGTATTTTAATACAATGGAATTGAAAATTTATAATGATGATACAAAATATTATACCTACAACATTCTGTAGTTAATTGATACGCCGCTGTTGTGAGTAGGTACATAACCGTCTACATCTATGTGAATTCTGAATATCGCTCCAAGCTTCGCAACTAATTAATTAGTGTCCCTATTATGTGTCCGCTATACAAGCCCCGGCTTCAATGCAACTACTCAGATATCTCGGGAATATAACGGAGTTGTTAACACTAATAATTTCTATATAGGAATATACACGAAACCTGCTGCATTTGTATAGGAATACAAAGAACTTTTATAAATGTTTAATTTATAGCACAGTCACTAAAAAATTAGAGTTTATAAAACACTACCTTTCTCAGTACACTGGTTTCGCCTTTTATTTATTTCAAATTGGCCATGTTATGATATTTATGTCACATTTGGCATGTCAGATTTTTTTACGATACCATCAATTGTTACAGCTTACTTAATATAATTACATGTTAATGGATATGCAATTAATATTACCATAATAATTCGTCATACTCCAAATAATAATCACAACAGGAAATAATATCAATAATAAAATTAATTTAAAAAGAATTACATAAATTAATTAAATTCACATTATAAATTAAAATTGAAATATTTCCAGGTTTTTTGTCAAAAAATCATTTACTTTATAAAATGGTTTAGATTAAAAAAAAAAATCTTCTTCGACTTCATACTATGTATACGTTATGGACCAAGTGATAAATTGAGCATTAAGCATAAAGTCCAGTCATTATGATAAATGCCCAATATGAGAGAGCAATTTCATAATATGTAATAATAATTTAAATAATCAAATTACCCGGGCATTATATATATTGTTCATAACCTTTTCGGCAAAGTTACACTATCATATTTAATTAGTGATTTTCATTTTTAATAAATAATAAACTAAAATTTAGATAATAAAGCTTTTTATTTACATTGCAAGGACTTTATACATAAAGAAACCAATAGTTTATGTATTTCAAAGGCTGCGTCAGACCATATCTGTCACAGAACGGGACTGCCTTCGTCGGGGTGACTGAGAATCTACGTCAGCTATATGGACCAGAGGTTGAAGAAAGCACCACAAACATCAACATCGAGTGGCGTTTTATACCCCGTCCGCCACCGTTCATATCCGGAGCATGGGAGTAACAAGAGAGAGTCCCAAAGAATCTGTTTTTGCTACATTTTTGGCAGTGGCCAAGGCTCTGATCAACGCAAGACACCTAACCCGAAAAACCGGAAGCTCTGATTCTCCATTCGTACGTTACGTACGTAGAGGACGTTCCTATCAAAAAGTGGATTCTCCATTCCACTTTTTCACAGGAACATCCTCTATTGCCAACAGCCATGCAGCATCCGTTCAGCAACACCTCTTCGGGCGTTATGGCAAAGAGCGGTGTGAATATCCGATGCTATTGGCGACGTTGGGTACGGGAGTACATCGCCACCAAAGTACCGTGATACTGACGTTCGAGAAGCAGTAGTCTCCACGGCAACGATTCTTCTTCGCCGAACCTGTAAAAAGCTGGTGCGGCCTCCGGCTGATGGCATTTTGTGATGTCCTCTGTCAATCCGTTACTGTTGAAAGAGGGGGAAAGATGTTACGAACTGGCCATCAAACTGGGCTGTGTAAATAGTTTTGACTTCGTTTTCTCTTTTTAAATGTCAAGTAGAATCTTATGTTTGTTCTGTTCACTCTTTCCTGTCGCTGCTTGCCTCTGATTTTATTTTAATATTTTATTTTATTATTAATATGTACGTTTGTACTTTGACCCTTTTATTTATTATAACCTATAAATTTATAAATTTTAGTAATAATAGGGTGCCCGTATTATCCTTTGGACACGGTACCCCAAAAGTTGATTTTTACTGCACGAATTCGCCATCGTCGGTCCTTATCTAACATATAGTCATTTACTATTGCCGAGGGCGAGGAGATAAGCAAGTTTAGCTTTTGAATGGACACTGTTGGGCTTTACGAATTGGCATTGTCTAATATATGTATATTTATGTTATTAAAAGGTCAAGGGAAACCTTTGCACCCCTTTAACCCAAAGTAATGCTATAATAGGTAGTCGTGTTGAAGTAATTATCTCAAATTATAAAGTAAATTAATTAATTGAAGGAGCTCGATGGTGCAGTGGTAAGCGCGCTCGATCTGCGAAACGGTTGATAAAAAAATAAACTTGCCATTCCAGGCTTCAGATTTCAAAAGACGAGAGAATTAATTCTGGGTAAATTCAATGCAATGTTCTATAAAGTCCTAGAAAATGTATTTGAACTACCAGTAAGTAATGAAAAATGTAAAAAAAAACACTTTGTCCTCGGTACTAATGATGATGATGAGGGGGCAGACGTGAAATCTGAGTTTTTCTGAGCAATAGCACACTCTTAAGCCGACCGCATCTGCAGTCGTTAATACACACCAATCTGCACTGGACCCGCGGGGTGGATCAGACATTCTCCATATTCGATTCCATAATAAGGTATAATAAATATAATCCCTAATGAGGTATTATATAGCCTTCTTAATTATACCTAATAGAGGGAACTTTGTTAATTGACACGTGATAACGTATTTGTTTTTTTTTTTCATAATTAGTTTAAGCAATTGTTTTTATTGGATAGGGCGCAGACAAGCAGACGGATCACCTGATGGTAAGTGATTACCGTCGCCCATGGACACCTGCAACACCAGAGGGGCTACAAGCACGCTGCCGGCCTTTGAGGGACGAATATGATCATAGGGAGGGAAGGGTTGACGGGTAGAGGGAAGGGAATAGGGAGGGGTTGGGCCTCCGGTACCCTCACTCACACGACGAAACACAACGCAAGCGTTGCTTCACGTCGGTTTTCTGTGAGGCCGTGGTATCACTCCGGTCGAGCCGGCCCACGGTGGGCAAAATCGGTCGTTATCGATCAAAAATGTATAACTTCATGATTTTTTGTAGTACCGCAATGAAATTTGCTACAAATATTCAGTGAGGTTTGGAAATTCAAATGATGTATAATTTGTAGTGTTTTTCTATATACATATATATGTTATATGTCATAGAGATTAAAAAAAATGGGTCAACACAAAAATAAAATGGTAAAAAAAATAATTCCAAAAGAAAGACAAGTTTTAATGACCAAAAAGGTTAAAACTATGGTTAAATACAAAATTACCCAATTAATAAAAAATAAAAAATATTTTTTTTGCTGAACAAACAAACTATACTAGGTCCTGTAGCTTCAGAGATTGATATAACTCGTTACAAACATTACTAATAACTAAATATCAATATTATTTTTATTTTGGTAGGTACCTATATTGCTTCAGGATCAGGGTCAGTAAACGTGCGTTCACTTTCAGGTACCACTTTTAAAAGACTTATTGCCTCTTCTTCAAGATTTTTTACATTTCTTAAGTATGGTTTTCTTAAACTTGTTATATATGGATCTGACGTGCACAAAAGCATTTTAAAGACATCTTCATTTGTTGCAGACCGGGAACATTTTTTGGCATGATGAAGTCGCATGTTTCTGTAGTCTTTGTTGCGAGACTCTTGTGCGTCTTCCGACAGCTGTCCAATAGGATTATCTAATTATCTAGTAATTTCTCACGCATAACGAGTGCAAATTTGATAAGATTCCTTTGTTATCGCTAAATAAATAAAATATTCCAAAAGTAATATAATTATTGTCCTTGTGAACGGTGTCTGTGGTAAACCGCAAAAGATACTGATTTTTTTTTCCCGACTTTTCACACATTATTTCTTATATTTTCTAAAACCGCAAACTTCCGCAGCTGTTTTTTTTTGTATTCTGTTCCTGAATAGTTAGACTAACAATTAACATAAAAAGTTGCGCGTGGGGAGTCGTGGGTAATATTGAAAACCTTAGACGAAAAAAAAGAAAAGTAAAAAATAAGGTATGCCACTTTTTAATTACTTACTGACATAATTGTCACTGCTTTAGAAATTAAGAAGCTGTAACGTAATAAGCATGAAACAACCTTTCCAAAAATGTATAATACTGCATATATGTACCCAATATATATTGCACAATATGGTTTTGAAACATGTATATGCGTAGACTCGAGTTCGGCACTCCCGTCTTCTATGTACTTCTACCTATGAAAAAAATGTAACTTCGTGCATTTTCGATAAAAAAACTTAATGAATATTATAATTCGATTATTTGAGATCCTAATAAAATCACAAAATCAAACAAATTATGATATTCGTAAAAAGTACTTTTGATATGCTCTTGTTCTACCATTTTCCACTGTGCGGCCCATTCATGCCGAAGCGAATATTATAAATATGATAAACACAAAAGTGTGATTATCGGTAAACCCTGCCAGAAAAAAACTTATTTAATTTCGTTTACTGTATTCACCCGTATTGAAATCTGTTATTTTATTTGTTTTCAGTCAGTGAGTTTAATTAATATAAGTATTAATAGTATTGAAAACTTCGTTAAATTCAGATAATGATATAAGAGGAATCTAGTTTGCGCAACAAAATTACCACCATTATTTTAAACCGCCTGCATTAAATAAGACCTATCATATATTAATTCCTGTACTCGTTTTAAAGTGTAGTTTGATGCTGTTTTAAAGAATGTGCATTTTGCTTTAGTTTGTTAAAGGCGACTCATTTAATTGCGGAGGTATTTTTAAAAAACAAAAAGGTATGTATTGCAGCTGTGCCGCAGAATGCCACAGCCGCAGCTGCAGCTATAAAAAAAAACGCTTCCTTTTTTCGGGTGTGCAACGAATGACGTCAACGAATGTTCACAGTGTTTAGAGAGCAGGTGGCGAGGCAAAGTCTGTAACGGTAAGGTGCGTGCGATACCGAGCGTAACGCGCAACAAGCTTACATCTTGTCCAGAAGGTTCCTGGGCCTCAAATCTATTTGCATCATACCATTATATTAGGTATAACTGAGCGCCAATATTATTAATGCAATGT